CACAGTGAGTGACACAGTGAGTGAGTGACACAGTGAGTGAGTGACACAGTGAGTGAGTGACACAGCGAGTGAGTGACACAGCGAGTGAGTGACACAGCGAGTGAGATTTTATTGAGTGAGTGATACAGTGAGTGAGTGACACAGCGAGTGAGTGACACAGCGAGTGTGAGTTTAGTGGGTGAGTGACACAGTGAGTGACACAGTGGGTGAGTGACACAGTGAGTGACACAGTGAGTGACACAGTGTGTGAGTGACGCAGTGAGTGACGCAGTGAGTGACGCAGTGAGTGACACAGTGAGTGTGATTTTATTGAGTGAGTGATACAGTGAGTGAGTGACACAGTGAGTGAGTGACACAGTGAGTGTGAGTTTAGTGGGTGAGTGACACAGTGAGTGACACAGTGAGTGACACAGTGTGTGACACAGTGTGAGTTTAGTGGGTGAGTGACACAGTGAGTGACACAGTGAGTGACACAGTGTGTGACACAGTGTGAGTTTAGTGGGTGAGTGACACAGTGAGTGACACAGTGAGTGACACAGTGAGTGAGTGACACAGTGGGTGAGTGACACAGCGGGTGACACAGTGAGTGAGTGACACAGCGAGTGTGAGTTTAGTGAGTGAGTGACACAGTGAGTGAGTGACACAGCGAGTGTGAGTTTAGTGAGTGAGTGACACAGCGAGTGAGTGACACAGCGAGTGTGAGTTTAGTGGGTGAGTGACACAGTGAGTGACACAGTGAGTGACACAGTGAGTGAGTGACACAGTGAGTGAGTGACACAGTGAGTGAGTGGCACAGTGAGTGAGTGACACAGTGAGTGACACAGTGAGTGAGTGATACAGTGAGTGAGTGACACAGTGAGTGACACAGCGAGTGAGTGACACAGCGAGTGTGAGTTTAGTGGGTGAGTGACACAGTGAGTGACACAGTGAGTGACACAGTGAGTGACACAGTGAGTGAGTGATACAGTGAGTGAGTGACACAGTGAGTGACACAGTGTGAGTTTAGTGAGTGAGTGACACAGCGAGTGAGTGACACAGTGAGTGAAACAGTGAGTGAGTGACACAGTGAGTGAGTGACACAGTGAGTGAGAGTTTAGTGAGTGAGTGATACAGTGAGTGAGTGACACAGTGAGTGACACAGTGTGAGTTTAGTGAGTGAGTGACACAGCGAGTGAGTGACACAGTGAGTGAGTGACACAGTGAGTGACACAGTGAGTGACAGTGAGTGAAACAGTGAGTGAGTGACACAGCGAGTGAGTGACACAGCGAGTGTGAGTTTAGTGGGTGAGTGACACAGTGAGTGACACAGTGAGTGACACAGTGAGTGACACAGTGAGTGAGTGACACAGTGAGTGAGTGACAGTGAGTGAGTGAGTGACACAGTGAGTGAGTGACACAGTGAGTGAGTGACACTGTGAGTGAGTGACACAGTGAGTGAGTGACACAGCGAGTGAGTGACACAGCGAGTGAGTGACACAGCGAGTGAGTGACACAGCGAGTGAGTGACACAGCGAGTGAGTGACACAGCGAGTGAGTGACACAGCGAGTGAGTGACACAGCGAGTGAGTGACACAGCGAGTGAGTGACACAGCGAGTGAGTGACACAGCGAGTGAGTGACACAGCGAGTGAGTGACACAGCGAGTGAGTGACACAGTGAGTGAGTGACAGTGAGTGAGTGACACAGTGAGTGACACAGTGAGTGAGTGACACAGCGAGTGAGTGACACAGCGAGTGTGAGTTTAGTGGGTGAGTGACACAGTGAGTGACACAGTGAGTGACACAGTGTGAGTTTAGCGAGTGAGTGACACAGCGAGTGAGTGACACAGCGAGTGACTGAGTGAGTGACACACTACCCCCCCACTACCCCACCCCCCCACCACCCCCCCCACCACCCCCCCACCACCCCCCCACTACCCCCCACCACCCACCATAGATGCGTCCAGCTCCCCGCCAGGGCTGTACTCCCAGGAGGCGTTTGTGTACCGTGCTGAGGAGCGTGAGTGAGTTACAGTGAGTGAGTGATACAGTGAGTGAGTTACAGTGAGTGAGTTACAGTGAGTGAGTTACAGTGAGTGAGTTACAGTGAGTGAGTTACAGTGAGTGAGTTACAGTGAGTGAGTTACAGTGTATGAGTTACAGTGAGTGAGTTACAGTGAGTGAGTTACAGTGAGTGAGTTACAGTGAGTGAGTTACAGTGAGTGAGTTACAGTGAGTGAGTTACAGTGAGTGAGTTACAGTGAGTGAGTTACAGTGAGTGAGTTACAGTGAGTGAGTTACAGTGAGTGAGTTACAGTGAGTGAGTTACAGTGAGTGAGTTACAGTGAGTGAGTTACAGTGAGTGAGTTACAGTGAGTGAGTGATACAGTGAGTGAGTTACAGTGAGTGAGTTACAGTGAGTGAGTTACAGTGAGTGAGTTACAGTGAGTGAGTTACAGTGAGTGAGTTACAGAGAGTGAGTTACAGTGAGTGAGTTACAGTGAGTGAGTTACAGTGAGTGAGTTACAGAGAGTGAGTGATACAGTGAGTGAGTTACAGTGAGTGAGTTACAGTGAGTGAGTTACAGTGAGTGAGTTACAGTGAGTGAGTTACAGTGAGTGAGTGATACAGTGAGTGAGTTACAGTGAGTGAGTTACAGTGAGTGAGTTACAGTGAGTGAGTTACAGTGAGTGAGTTACAGTGAGTGAGTTACAGTGAGTGAGTTACAGTGAGTGAGTTACAGTGAGTGAGTTACAGTGAGTGAGTTACAGTGAGTGAGTTACAGTGAGTGAGTGAGTTACAGTGAGTGAGTTACAGTGAGTGAGTTACAGTGAGTGAGTTACAGTGAGTGAGTGATACAGTGAGTGAGTGATACAGTGAGTGAGTGATACAGTGAGTGAGTTACAGTGAGTGAGTTACAGTGAGTGAGTTACAGTGAGTGAGTTACAGTGAGTGAGTTACAGTGAGTGAGTTACAGTGAGTGAGTTACAGTGAGTGAGTGATACAGTGAGTGAGTTACAGTGAGTGAGTTACAGTGAGTGAGTTACAGTGAGTGAGTTACAGTGAGTGAGTTACAGTGAGTGAGTGATACAGTGAGTGAGTTACAGTGAGTGAGTTACAGTGAGTGAGTTACAGTGAGTGAGTTACAGTGAGTGAGTTACAGTGAGTGAGTTACAGTGAGTGAGTTACAGTGAGTGAGTTACAGTGAGTGAGTTACAGTGAGTGAGTTACAGTGAGTGAGTTACAGTGAGTGAGTGAGTTACAGTGAGTGAGTTACAGTGAGTGAGTTACAGTGAGTGAGTTACAGTGAGTGAGTGATACAGTGAGTGAGTGATACAGTGAGTGAGTGATACAGTGAGTGAGTTACAGTGAGTGAGTTACAGTGAGTGAGTTACAGTGAGTGAGTTACAGTGAGTGAGTTACAGTGAGTGAGTTACAGTGAGTGAGTGACACACTACCCCCCCACTACCCCCCCCACTACCCCCCCACTACCCCCACCACCCCCCCACCACCCCCCCACTACCCCCCACTACCCTGTAGATGCGTCCAGCTCCCCGCCAGGGCTGTACTCCCAGGAGGCGTTTGTGTACCGTGCTGAGGAGCGTGAGTGAGTTACAGTGAGTGATACAGTGAGTGAGTTACAGTGAGTGAGTTACAGTGAGTGAGTGACACACTACCCCTCCACTACCCCACCCGCCCACCACCCCCCCACTACCCCCCCACTACCCCCCACTACCCCCCACCCACCGTAGATGCGTCCAGCTCCCCGCCAGGGCTGTACTCCCAGGAGGCGTTTGTGTACCGTGCTGAGGAGCGTTTCCGCGTGCCACCGATGCTGCCGCCGCACCTCCTGCAAGTCATCCTCAACAAGGACACCAACATCTCGGTAGGCTGAGTCTCTGTCTGTGTCGCCTGCTGGCTGTGTCACTCGCTGGCTGTGTCGCTCGCTGTGTCGCTCGCTGTGTCGCTCGCTGTGTCGCTCGCTGTGTCTCTGGCTGTGTCGCTGGCTGTGTCGCTGGCTGTGTCGCTCGCTAGCTGTGTCTCCCGCTAGCTGTGTCACCCGCTAGCTGTGTCACCCGCTGGCTGTGTCGCTGGCTGTGTCGCTCGCTAGCTGTGTCGCTCACTGGCTGTGTCGCTGGCTGTGTCTCCCGCTAGCTGTGTCTCCCGCTAGCTGTGTCGCTGGCTGTGTCTCCCGCTAGCTGTGTCGCTAGCTGTGTCTCTGGCTGTGTCTCTCACTAGCTGTGTCTCCCGCTAGCTGTGTCTCCCGCTGGCTGTGTCTCCCGCTAGCTGTGTCGCTAGCTGTGTCGCTGGCTGTGTCTCCCGCTAGCTGTGTCGCTAGCTGTGTCTCTGGCTGTGTCTCTCACTAGCTGTGTCTCCCGCTAGCTGTGTCTCCCGCTGGCTGTGTCTCCCGCTGGCTGTGTCTCCCGCTGGCTGTGTCTCCCGCTGGCTGTGTCTCCCGCTGGCTGTGTCTCCCGCTGGCTGTGTCTCCTGCTGGCTGTGTCTCCCGCTAGCTGTGTCTCTGGCTGTGTCTCCCGCTGGCTGTGTCTCCCGCTGGCTGTGTCTCCCGCTAGCTGTGTCTCCCGCTAGCTGTGTCACTCGCTAGCTGTGTCTCTGGCTGGCTGTGTCTCCCGCTAGCTGTGTCTCTGGCTGTGTCTCCCGCTAGCTGTGTCTCCCGCTAGCTGTGTCACTCGCTGGCTGTGTCTCCCGCTAGCTGTGTCTCCCGCTAGCTGTGTCTCCCGCTGGCTGTGTCTCCCGCTAGCTGTGTCTCCCGCTAGCTGTGTCTCCCGCTAGCTGTGTCTCCCGCTGCTGTGTCTCCCGCTGGCTGTGTCTCCCGCTAGCTGTGTCACTCGCTGGCTGTGTCTCCCACTGGCTGTGTCTCCCGCTAGCTGTGTCTCCCGCTAGCTGTGTCTCCCGCTAGCTGTGTCACTCGCTGGCTGTGTCTCCCGCTAGCTGTGTCTCCCGCTGGCTGTGTCTCCCGCTGGCTGTGTCTCCCGCTGGCTGTGTCTCCCGCTAGCTGTGTCTCTCGCTGGCTGTGTCTCCCGCTAGCTGTCTCCCGCTAGCTGTGTCTCTCGCTGGCTGTGTCTCCCACTAGCTGTGTCTCCCACTAGCTGTGTCTCCCGCTAGCTGTGTCTCCCGCTGGCTGTGTCTCCCGCTGGCTGTGTCTCCCGCTGGCTGTGTCTCTGGCTGTGTCTCCCGCTAGCTGTGTCTCCCGCTGGCTGTGTCTCCCGCTGGCTGTGTCTCTGGCTGTGTCTCCCGCTGGCTGTGTCTCCCGCTGGCTGTGTCTCCCGCTGGCTGTGTCTCCCGCTGGCTGTGTCTCCCGCTAGCTGTGTCTCCCGCTAGCTGTGTCTCCCGCTAGCTGTGTCTCCCGCTGGCTGTGTCTCTGGCTGTGTCTCCCGCTGGCTGTGTCTCCCGCTAGCTGTGTCTCTGGCTGTGTCTCCCGCTGGCTGTGTCTCCCGCTGGCTGTGTCTCCCGCTAGCTGTGTCTCCCGCTAGCTGTGTCTCCCGCTAGCTGTGTCTCCCGCTAGCTGTGTCTCCCGCTAGCTGTGTCTCCCGCTAGCTGTGTCTCCCGCTAGCTGTGTCTCCCGCTAGCTGTGTCTCCCGCTAGCTGTGTCTCCCGCTAGCTGTGTCTCCCGCTAGCTGTGTCTCCCGCTAGCTGTGTCTCCCGCTAGCTGTGTCTCCTGCTAGCTGTGTCTCTGGCTGTGTCTCCCGCTAGCTGTGTCGCTAGCTGTGTCTCCCGCTAGCTGTCTCCCGCTAGCTGTGTCTCCCGCTAGCTGTCTCCCGCTAGCTGTGTCTCCCGCTAGCTGTGTCTCCCGCTGGCTGTGTCGCTAGCTGTGTCTCCCGCTAGCTGTGTCTCCCGCTAGCTGTGTCTCTGGCTGTGTCTCCCGCTAGCTGTGTCTCCCGCTGGCTGTGTCTCCCGCTAGCTGTGTCTCCCGCTGTGTCTCCCGCTGGCTGTGTCTCCCGCTGGCTGTGTCTCCCGCTAGCTGTGTCTCCCGCTAGCTGTGTCTCCCGCTAGCTGTGTCTCCCGCTAGCTGTGTCTCCCGCTGGCTGTGTCTCCCGCTGGCTGTGTCTCCCGCTGGCTGTGTCTCCCGCTGGCTGTGTCTCCCGCTAGCTGTGTCTCTGGCTGTGTCACTCGCTGGCTGTGTCTCCCGCTGGCTGTGTCTCCCGCTGGCTGTGTCTCTGGCTGTGTCTCCCGCTAGCTGTGTCTCCCGCTAGCTGTGTCTCCCGCTAGCTGTGTCACTGGCTGTGTCTCCCGCTGGCTGTGTCTCCCGCTAGCTGTGTCGCTGTCTGGCTGTGTCGCTGTCTGGCTGTGTCGCTGTCTGGCTGTGTCGCCTGCTGGCTGTGTCGCTGGCTGTGTCGCTGGCTGTGTCGCCTGCTGTCTGTGTCACCTGCTGTCTGTGTCTCTGGCTGTGTCGCCTGCTGGCTGTGTCGCTGGCTGTGTCGCTGGCTGTGTCGCTGGCTGTGTCGCTGGCTGTGTCGCCTGCTGTCTGTGTCGCCTGCTGTCTGTGTCGCTGGCTGTGTCGCTGGCTGCCTGTGTTGCTGGCTGTGTCACTGGCTGGCTGTGTCGCTGTCTGTGTCGCTGGCTGTGTCGCTCGCCTGCTGTCTGTGTCGCCGGCCACTGCTGCAACTCGCTGACTGCTCTTGCCCCAAGACTTTGGGAGGGGCTGTACGTGGTACCTGTCTGTGTGTGTGTCAGTGTGCGTGTGTCTGTGTGTGTGTATCACTGTGTGTGTGGCTGTCTGTGTGTGTCACTGTGTGTGTGTGTGGCTGTCAGTGTGTGTGTGTGTGTGGCTGTGTGTGTCACTGTGTGTGTGTGTGGCTGTCAGTGTGTGTGTGGCTGTCAGTGTGTGTGTGGCTGTCAGTGTGTGTGTGGCTGTGTGTGTGTGTGGCTGTGTGTGTGTGTGGCTGTGTGTGTGTGTGACTGTCAGTGTGTGTGTGTGTGTCTGTGTGTGTGTGTCTGTCTGTGTGTGTGTGTGTCTGACTGTGTGTGTCTGTGTGTGTGTGTGTGTGTCTGTGTGTGACTGCGACTGTGTGTGTGTGACTCTGTGTGTGTGTCACTCTGTATGTGTGTGTGACACTGTATGTGTGTGTGTGTGACACTGTATGTGTGTGTGTGTGACACTGTATGTGTGTGTGTGTGACACTGTATGTGTGTGTGTGTGACACTGTATGTGTGTGTGTGTGACACTGTATGTGTGTGTGTGTGACACTGTGTGTGTGTGTGTGACACTGTGTGTGTGTGTGTGACACTGTGTGTGTGTGTGTGTGACACTGTGTGTGTGTGTGTGTGACACTGTGTGTGTGTGTGTGTGACACTGTGTGTGTGTGTGTGACACTGTGTGTGTGTGTGTGACACTGTGTGTGTGTGTGTGACACTGTGTGTGTGTGTGTGTGACACTGTGTGTGTGTGTGTGACACTGTGTGTGTGTGTGTGTGACACTGTGTGTGTGTGTGTGTGACACTGTGTGTGTGTGTGTGTGACACTGTGTGTGTGTGTGTGTGACACTGTGTGTGTGTGTGTGTGACACTGTGTGTGTGTGTGTGACACTGTATGTGTGTGTGTGTGTGACACTGTGTGTGTGTGTGTGACACTGTGTGTGTGTGTGACACTGTGTGTGTGTGTGACTGATTGTGACTGACAGTGTGACCCTGCCCTGCTGCCCGAGCCAAACCACGTGATGCTGAACCATCTCTACGCCCTGTCCATCAAGGTAAACACGCACACACATCACACACACCACACATACACACATCACACACACACACATCACACACTCCACACATACACACATCACACGCACACACATCACACACACACACATCACACCACACACCACACACACACATCACACCACACACACACACACCACACACACATCACACACACACATCACACACACATCACACACACCACACACACATCACACACACATCACACACACATCACACACACACATCACACACATCACACACACACCACACACACACCACACACACCACACACACCACACACACACCACACACCCCACACACACCACACACACCACACACACACCACACACACACCACACACCCCACACACACCACACACACCACACACACACCACACACACACCACACACACCACATCACACACACCACACACACCACACACACACCACACAATCCACACACACCACACACACCACACACATCACACACACACCACACACACACCACACACACATCACACACCACACACCACACACACCACATCACATCACACACACACCACACACACCACACACACACACACCACATCACACCACACACACACCACACACACACCACACACACACCACACACACACCACACACATCACATCACACCACACACACCACACACACCACACACATCACATCACACCACACACACCACACACACCACACACACCACACACACACACACACCACACACACACACACACCACACACACCACACACACCACACACACCACACACACCACACACACCACACACACCACACACACCACACACACCACACACACCACACACACACCACACACCACACACACACCACACACACACCACACACACCACACACACCACACACACCACACACACCACACACACACCACACACACACACACACACCACACACACCACACACACACACACACACCACACACACCACACACACACACACACACCACACACACACCACACACACACACACACACACACACACACACACACACACACACCACACACACACACACACACACACACACACACACACACACACACACACCACACACCACACACACACACACACACACACACACACCACACACTACACACACCACACACACCACATCACACACACCACACACACCACACACACACCACACACACCACACACATCACACACACACCACACACACACCACACACTACACACACAACACACACCACACACACACCACACACCACACACACCACACACACACCCACACACACCACACACACACCACACACACACCACACACCCCACACACACCACACACACCACACACACACCACACACACACCACACACACCACATCACACACACCACACACACCACACACACACCACACAATCCACACACACCACACACACCACACACATCACACACACACCACACACACACCACACACACATCACACACCACACACCACACACACCACATCACATCACACACACACCACACACACCACACACACACACACCACATCACACCACACACACCACACACACACCACACACACCACACACATCACACACACACCACACACACACCACACACACCACACACACACCACACACCCCACACACACCACACACACCACACACACACCACACACACACCACACACCCCACACACACCACACACACCACACACACACCACACACACACCACACACACACCACACACACCACATCACACACACCACACACACCACACACACACCACACAATCCACACACACCACACACACCACACACATCACACACACACCACACACACACCACACACACATCACACACCACACACCACACACACCACATCACATCACACACACACCACACACACCACACACACACACACCACACACACCACACACACCACACACACCACACACACTACACACACATCACACACACACACCACAGACACCACACACACCACACACACCACACACATCACACACACACCACACACACACCACACACACATCACACACCACACACCACACACACCACATCACATCACACACACACCACACACACCACACACACACACACCACACACACCACACACACCACACACACCACACACACTACACACACATCACACACACACACCACACACACCACACACACACCACACACACTACACACACATCACACACACACACCACAGACACCACACACACCACACACACCACACACATCACACACACACCACACACACACCACACACACATCACACACCACACACCACACACACCACATCACATCACACACACACCACACACACCACACACACACACACCACACACACCACACACACCACACACACCACACACACTACACACACACCACACACACACACCACACACACCACACACACACCACACACACTACACACACATCACACACACACACCACAGACACCACACACACCACACACACCACACACATCACACACACACCACACACACACCACACACACATCACACACCACACACCACACACACCACATCACACCACACACACACCACACACACCACACACACACACACCACACACACCACACACACCACACACACCACACACACTACACACACATCACACACACACACCACAGACACCACAGACAGACGCTGCTGCTACTCTCTACTGCAGCACTGTGGATTACCGTGGGGACTGTCTTTGTGTGTGTTGGTGTGCTGATGTGTGTTGGTGCGTGTGGTGGTTTGTGTGCGCGTGTGTGTTGGTGTGGTGTGTTGGTGTGGTGGTGTGTTGGTGTGTTGGTGTGTGTGGTGCGTGTTGGTGCGGTGTGTGGTGGTGTGTTGGTGCGTGTGGTGGTGTGTGTGTTGGTGTGTGTTGGTGTTGGTGTGTGTGTGCGTGTGTGGTGTTGGTGTGTGTTGGTGTGTGTTGGCGTGTGTGGTGTGTTGGCGTGTGTGGTGTGTTGGCGTGTGTGGTGTGTGGTGTGTTGGCGTGTGTGTGGTGTGTGTTGGTGCGGTGTGTGTGTGGCGTGTGGTGCTGCGTGTGTGTTGGTGCTGGTGTGGTGGTGTGTTGGTGTGTTGGTGCGTGCACGTGTTGGTGTGGTGTGTGTGTTGGTGCGTGTGGTTGTGCGTGTGTGTTGGTGTGTGCGTGTGTTGGTGTGTGCGTGTGTTGGTGTGTGTGGTGTGTGCGTGTGTTGGTGTGCGTGTGGTGTGTTGGTGCGTGTGGTGTGTTGGTGCGTGTGGTGTTGGTGTGTTGGTGCGTGTGGTGTTGGTGTGTTGGTGCGTGCGTGTGTTGGTGTGTTGGTGCGTGTGTGTGGTTGGTGTGGTGTTGGTGGTGTTGGTGTGGTGTGTTGGTGTGTTGGTGCGTGTGGTGTTGGTGTGTGTTGGTGTGTTGGTGCGTGTGGTGTGTTGTGGTGTGTTGGTGAGTGTGGTGGTGGTGTGTTGGTGCGTGTGGTGTTGGTGTGTTGGGGCGTGTTGGTGCGTGTGGTGTTGGTGTGTTGGTGCGTGGTGTGTTGGTGTGTTGGTGTTGGTGTGTTGGTGTGTTGGTGTGGCGTGTGGTGTTGGTGTGTTGGTGCGTGTGGTGTTGGTGTGGTGTGTTGGTGTGTTGGGGCGTGTGGTGTGTTGGTGTGTTGGTGCGTGTGGTGTGTGCGTGTGTTGGTGTGTTGGTGTGGTGTTGGTGCGTGTGGTGTGTTGGTGTGTTGGTGTGTTGGTGTGGCGTGTGGTGTTGGTGTGTTGGTGTGTTGGTGTGTGTGTGTGTGTGTTGGTGCGTGTGGTGTTGGTGTGGTGTTGGTGTGTTGGTGTGTTGGTGTGGTGTTGGTGTGGTGTTGGTGTGTGTTGGTGTGTTGGTGCGTGTGTGTTGGTGCATGTGTTGGTGTGTGTTGGTGCGTGTGTTGGTGCGTGTGTGTTGGTGTGGTGTTGGTGTGGTGTTGGTGTGTTGGTGCGTGTGCAGGACGGTGTGATGGTGCTGAGCGCCACGCACCGCTTCAAGAAGAAGTACGTCACCACGCTCATGTACAAGCCCATCTGAGCCCCCCGCGTGCCAGGGTCGGTGCACACACACACGCACGCACCGGTACACGCACACACACACACACACACGTGCCCGTGGACACGTGCCCGTGGACACGTGCCCCGTGGACACGTGCCCCGTGGACACGTGCATCGTGGACACGTGCCCCGTGGACACGTGCCCCGTGGACACGTGCCCCGTGGACACGTGCCCCGTGGACACGTGCCCCGTGGACACGTGCACCGTGGACACGTGCCCCGTGGACACGTGCGTCGTGGACACGTGCCCCGTGGACACGTGCCCCGTGGACACGTGCCCCGTGGACACGTGCCCCGTGGACACGTGCACCGTGGACACGTGCCCCGTGGACACGTGCACCGTGGACACGTGCCCCGTGGACACGTGCATCGTGGACACGTGCCCGTGGACACGTGGACACGTGCCCGTGGACACGTGGACACGTGCCCGTGGACACGTGGACACGTGCCCGTGGACACGTGGACACGTGCCCGTGGACACGTGCCCCGTGGACACGTGCCCCGTGGACACGTGCCCCGTGGACACGTGCCCCGTGGACACGTGCATCGTGGACACGTGCCCCGTGGACACGTGCCCCAGTCAAGACTCTCTTTGCGTGTGTCACAGTGCCGGCCATACCGCGGCCCAGCCGCTCGCCTCTGCAATCGGCGCCTGCCACCCCGCGGCCTGCGGAGGCCGGCCAGGGCCCGGAGGGCCGGCCAGGGCCCTGAGGCCGGCCAGGGCCCAGGTCCCGTTCTAGCATCTTTGATGGCACCCAAAGTTTTGTGTATAGAGCTCGATACAAAATAAAATAAAACTACGTCTATGATTACCACAGCCGTCTCTGTGTGTGTGTGTGTCTCTGTGTGTGTGTACCGTGTGTGTGTACCATGTGTGTGTGTGTCTCTGTGTGTGTCTCTCTCTCTGTGTGTGTGTGTCTCTCTCTCTGTGTGTGTGTCTTTCTCTGTGTGTGTGTGTGTCTTTCTCTCTATCTGTGTGTGTGTCTCTATCTGTGTGTGTGTCTCTCTCTGTCTGTGTGTGTGTCTATCTCTGTCTGTGTGTGTCTATCTCTGTCTGTGTGTGTCTATCTCTGTCTGTGTGTGTCTGTCTGTGTGTGTGTGTCTCTCTCTGTCTGTGTGTGTGTGTGTCTCTCTGTCTGTGTGTGTGTGTCTCTCTCTGTCTGTGTGTGTGTGTCTCTCTCTGTCTGTGTGTCTCTCTCTGTCTGTGTGTCTCTCTCTGTCTGTGTGTGTGTGTCTCTCTCTGTCTGTGTGTGTGTCTCTCTCTCTGTCTGTGTGTGTGTCTCTCTGTCTGTGTGTGTGTGTGTCTCTCTCTCTGTCTGTGTGTGTGTCTCTCTCTGTGTGTGTGTGTACCGTGTGTGTGTGTATACCATGTGTGTGTGTGTCTGTATACCGTGTGTGTGTGTGTCTCTCTGTCTGTGTGTGTGTGTCTCTCTGTCTGTGTGTGTGTGTCTCTCTGTCTGTGTGTGTGTGTCTCTGTGTGTGTGTGTGGAGCGGTGGTGCAGCGGTTAGCGCTACGCTGCGCTACGAACCCAACGACCCGGGTTCGATTCCCGCTCAACGGCCAACGCCGCCATCAGTGACGATTATCTGAACCGGTCCTGGGCCTCCCCTAGGTCGACTCGGCCTCAAATGAGTTACCTGGTGTGGCGGTGTGTAGTAAACATCGCCACTGGGGAGACAAAGACGGCCGGGCTTGGTGCTGGCCACCCACCCCCTCGTGTGCCGTTACCGGCCTTCATAGGTGCTGCTAGCTAACAGCACTTGCCCCTACAGCCTGTTACAGGCTACACGGGGGAACTTTGTCTTGTGTGTGTGCAAGTGTGTGTGTGTGTGCGTGTACACGTGTGTGTGTGTGTGTGCACGTGTGTGTGTGTGCCATGCCCGCCTTCACAAGCGTTACTCCCTAACAGCACTTGCCCCCCCTACAGCCTGTTACAGGCTACACAGGGCCCATCTTTGTCTTGCCTGCAATTCCCTCACCAGAGTGTAACGGGATTCGTGTCCCCCTGGGTACAAACTGTGATTTAGATTTTTGTTTTAATCGCTTATGCCTCCAAAAGTACGGAGAAATGTCTGCTGTGATTAAACCCCCCACAGATTATGTTAGACGAGGCCCCGGATTGGGGTCGAGGCTCAAAAGAAAGCCGTTCCCTCGGCGTGGACCAATCGGCTTCGAGGGCAGTGCGTCATATATGATCATAGTGTGTGTGTGTGTGTTTGTTTTTGACTGCAGGTGTAGCGGGTTTCACGGGACACGGTGGAGTAGAGGCAGCGCTGTTTATTCAAAGCTTAACGAGGGGGTTTGCACTGAGAAGGGGTAACGGCATCTTTACCCGTAACACACGCTGGGACACCCGCTAGGCCATCAGCCTAACTTCGCTGTGTCCCCAGTTCCTCCAGCTACAGGCGCTAGCGTTGTAGTGTGTTCACGGGACACGGTGGAGTAGATGCAGCGCTGTTTATTCAAAGCTTAACGAGGGGTTTGCACTGGAAGGGGTAACGGCATCTTCACCCGTAACACACTCTGGTACAACCCGCTAGGCCATCAGCCTAACTCCACTGTGTCCCCAGTTTCTCCAGCTACAGGCGCTAGAGGGAGGGCTATCTGACCTGGCCCTGGTCAAGCACAGGTCACGGACACCCCACCAACCACACCGACCCTTACAAGGGCCCATACTCTTTGGTGCTATTGGGTAAAGTCACGTAGGTGAAAATGAAATAACAAAAAATCACGACGTTTCGGCCACAACACAAGCGGCCTTCATCAGGTGAAGGGACGAGACTGTCTGGAGGACAGCGCTGGAGTGGAAGAAGCCACGCTTAGATCACGACCTTTAAGCTGTGTGAGAAGAAAAACACCAAGCGCCTTGACAAAGGAATTAGCATATAATTTAGCATTGAAATGGCTCATTGAAATAGCTAAGTTAAAGTATACACACCCGCAGAGGTACCCCTTGACAAAGGAATTAGCGTAGAATTTAGCATTGAAACAGCTGAGTGATTAGCTTGTAACTGGTCGCAGAAATAGCTGTGTTGAAGTTAGAGCATATACATTCACCGAGGCACCTAGTACTCGTCAAACAGGAGAATTTAGCGAAACACAACCACGCTCAGACAGCGGACCTTTTAAACTGTGTGCGAGCAAACAAGGTGTTCTGACAAGGGCCTCCGGTTCTGAGGCTCCGGGACCGCACCACCGGCTTGCCCTGCTGGCCCGCACAAGGGACAGCGGTCAGGGTGGTCCCAGGGTCTATCTAGCCGGTCTTCCTTCTTCACCGGTTCTTCATCCTTGGCCCCAACGCTCTGCCCCCAGATCTCCGGCTCCCCGCCCTTTTATACCCGTACACCGCTGAGGGCGGGGGCTATAGCGGACGTGGTTGTAGCCACCGTGGTGTGGCTGTGTGTTACCTTCCCACGCACTGTGTGTTTGTGTTGCCTTCACACAACACCCCGACACAGGTGTTTGTGGTTAACGGCGTCATCTGGCCGAGCACCAATTGGGTCGAGGCTCAAGTAAGAAACCCGGTCCCTTGGGGCGGACCAATCAGTTGGTGTGGACAGCACACACACACAGCACACACAGCACACACACACAGCACACACACAACACACACACACACAGCACACACACAGCACACACACAACACACACACACACAGCACACACACAGCACACACACACACACACAGCACACACACACAGCACACACACACAGCACACACACACAACACACACACAGCACACACACAGCACACACACAACACACACACACAGCACACACACAGCACACACACCACACACACCACACACACACGCAGCACACACACACACAACACACACACACAGCAACAACAACCGCCATTCGCCACTAAGTGGCGGTGACGTCACCACGACGCTTGTGCCAGGCCATGTGCACCTTGAGGCCACGTGGAGTGTCGAACGCCCGCTGGCAGGAGGTCACGGGGCAGACCCAGGTGCCACGGGTCGACTGACTGAGATGACTGGCTGATGCACCACCTGTGCCCCTTACTGTGCCAACCTGCTGTGCTTTAGCCACCCAGCGCTCCGCTCGTTGTTGTGAGTGTCGCTCCTCCGCCCTCCGTTGTTGTTGGAGGGCGACTACCTCCAACTGCCCAGTAGCAGCGTCCTTCACGAGCCTCCTCCACAGAGGCCGATCTTGACACCGCTGGTACCAGTCATCGGCAAGTCACGAAAGCTTTAAATCGAAATATTATCGGTTCTTCCGGTAAAGTCGCCACGTAGAAAAGGGGAAACAATCAAATGATAAAAAAAAAATATCTAAAACAAAATCCTCACGACGTTTCAACTGCAACGCCAAGCAAATCGTCATCGGCTGTGAAAACCACGGCAAGACAAATTTGAAAAAAAAAGTGGAGTTTTTTTTTCCATCTCCCCTTAACGTCAGCACCGCGGACAGCGATTTTGGCATTCGTTCAGACGGACGAGTCCATCGACGTTCGGAAAAGAGGAGGGGGGCGGGGGAAGAGAATGGAATGCGGTCTGAGAGTCACCCTAAAGCGTGAACATCAAATCGTATTCTGGGTTCTTTCGGTAAAGTCACCACCGCGTAGAAGGGAAACAATAAAATGATAAAAATATAAAACGATAAAATTCTCACGGCGTTTCTACTGCAACACAAAGCAGCAATCATCAAGAATAAAATAATAAAAATATAAAACAATAAAATAATAAAAATATAAAACAATAAAATTCTCACGGCGTTTCTACTGCAACACAAAGCAGCAATCATCAAGAATAAAATAATAAAAATATAAAACAATAAAATAATAAAAATATAAACCAATAAAATAATAAAAAATATAAAACAATAAAATAATAAAAATATAAAACAATAAAATTCTCACGGCGTTTCGACTGCGACACAAAGCAGCAATCATCAAGAATAAAATAATAAAAATATAAAACAATAAAATAATAAAAATATAAAACAATAAAATAATAAAAATATAAAACAATAAAATTCTCACGACGTTTCGACTGCAACAACAAAGCAACAATCATCAAGAATAAAATAATAAAAATATAAAACAATAAAATAATAAGAATATAAAACAATAAAATAATAAAAATTTAAAACAATAAAATAATAAGAATATAAAACAATAAAATTCTCACGACGTTTCGACTGCAACGCAAAGCAGCAATCATCATCATCGTCAGGTGTGAAAACCACAGCAAGAAAATTTGAAAAAAGTGGCGGTAATTTTTTCAACGTTAGCAACCACGGAGAGCGATTTGGCTTTTCGTTCAGATGGACGAGTCCATCTATGTTCGGAAAAGAGGAGGGGGGAGACGAAAAATAATGGCTGCGGTCTGAAAGCCACCGTAAGCGTGAACAATCAATTAAGACCCCTGAAATGGTTTTATCAAATCCTTCCAATGATTGCTAAGCCAGAATCCATCTTCCCGGTTGAAATTGTCTCTGTGTTTGTATATGTGGATAGCCTCGTGAACGAATCTCTCATGGTAGCCAGATGGCTTGCAAAGAACCTCCGTCTTGGAGAAAGTCAATGTCATGTGAGCCTACTGAATAATTATAACAGTGATCTGCCATGGCCGAGGTGTTGGTCCTACCGTGTTTAAGGTCTGCTTTGTGTTCACGAATGCGGTCCGAGACATGTCGTTTGGTTTCACCAATGTAACTACTACCACAGAGGCAACTTAGTTTGTAGATGCCAGGGTACTGTATGTCCGGAATCACATCTTTTACAGACGGAACCAGATCACGGATTCTACGTGGTGACTTTACCGAAATAACCATGAATATGAATCCCT